TGTTAGACTGCTTCATGAGGGACTCTAATTTATGACTAAGCGTTTTAACATTCTGAAGAAACCACGCAGTGATACACAAATGTAGTATGATGAGGTATTTTAAGAAGTGCTTTTAATATAAGAAATCCTCCAAAGTCCATAGCACTGAAACAATAATTCCAGGTAATGATAAATAGGAATTCACAAAAATATATGGTCAATTTTGAGTGACAAGTCTGCTAATTGCATATACAGCATGTAACTTAATATGCTGTATATGCATATAATTTAATATGCAGGTATCAAATTATGTCCACAATTTGCACTCATTATTGACAAAAATATTACTACATATGAAATGCATTTATAATGATATCAGATCAGGAGCTAATTATAATAGACATAAATATATTCACAAACATTTGGACAAAGCTTCTCAGCTTTTCACATCCATCCCAATCAAATAATGTTTAATTTAGTGTTAATGACCTTAATTTGGGAGAGATGTCTTTGATCAATCACTTCATTTCCTAGTTCCTAAGTGTGTTTATGTAATCATATGCGTGCAGTTGAGTATTGTGTGGTAGCATGGATACATATCATATGACTGTATATTGTAGACTATAGACTAAAACATAGATACATTTGTTCTGTGGATAAAAATCTTGCTAAAATTTGATCAGTTACATGATTCATTATTTCTTTTCTAGGAAATAGTCAACATTCAAAACAAATAGGGGTCTACACACTAATAAATGAGGCTTTTATTTATTTCTATGATGCCTTCCTTCCCTGGTTCTTCTGTTCTTGTCTCTTCATGTCACAGTATTTTCTCAAAATTTGCTTTCCTGCAGAGCAGCTCATAGAGACACCTAGTGGTAATGGTGGCGTCTCAGGCCAGCTTTAATACTGAGTTAATGGCAGAAAGTTATTTATTTATATGAACCACAAGAGGTGAACTAGAATATTTTTAGTGTCAGTGTTTCTACAATATTACAGCCCAAATTAACTACAAGCATGTTTAATACTTCTTAGCTCTACAAAATGTATTTTACATAGGATAATAAATATTTAAAGTAAAAATAACATAAAACCAAAAATTAAATTAAAATTTGATATTAAATGCAATTGTGAAGATTTAGGGATAAAAGAATGAACTAAGCTATGTATGTTTCAGCTATTTTGAGTAGTCCAATAATTAGCTAAGCCATTTTATCCCTTTTGAGTACGTCCACAGTAGGAAATCAACACTGAAAAAGAAACGTCTGTGATAAAACTTAAGACTTACATTCCAAAAGGTTCTAACTGTAATTAATGCATACTTTTAAAATTCTAACACCTTTAACACTTTATTCTGAAAATAAAAAAGCAATATTATACTTAAAAAAATTAGTTTTCTAACATGTTTCTATTGTGTTAGAAGATAATGACTAAATAAAAAAAAAAACAGCCACAAGCTTTTCTGGGGAGAAGTTGAAGTTGTCTATTTATATAATGTACCTGTAGCAAGTGGCTATCATTCCTAGGCCAAATGTTTCTAAATTTAACAGGAAGTTCCACTATGAGATTTTATTTTTAATTATCTGGTATTACAAATTGCTTCTTTCCTCCCACTCTTTTACTTACCCGAAATTTAAGTAAAATAAACAAAACTGTTTCCAAACTAAGAATGAACGGCTTTACTAAAAAAAAAAAAACTTGCAGAATAGACGCAGGAGAAATTTCAAGAAATGTTGCAAAACCTCAGATTGCAATCAATATTCACCACCTCTAGAAAACTCTAATTCAACATAGAGGCTGTGGGAAATATGTTAGTGGCTACATATACATAAGAATTTAATCTTAATTTTAAATTTAATCAAGATATTATAACCACAGTATTACCCCAACTGTTAACAAGAAGGACACAATGTCAGTTATGTGTAAGACGGTTCTGAAAGATACTACATAATTAATTCCAAAATCAGATGGATACAATATATTTAAGTGGTAAAACTAGCCAGTTATCAAAGGAACAGGCACATGTGCACTCAGCCTGCATTGGGCCACTTATTAGGATCAACTTTTTTTCTGTACCCCGAGTGGGCTGCAGCGCCAACAGTACAAACCTTGGAAATACGCCTTATGCATGTGAAGACCCTCTTTTGGGGAAGGAGGTGTCAGGTTTCATGGAAAGAGCCAGGAGTACTTACTGTAGAGATGACGCTAGTAGAGTTTAGCAGATGACTCTTCAAGAAACTTGCTTTCTATCGATACTGCATTTATTTAGGGATTTCCAGCTTTTTAGTACACACCAAATACATTCACAATCTCTCTGAAAGTCGTTCGCATTCCCTTGTCTCGCCCGGACATACTTATAAAACGTAATTCTTAACAAAAAAAAAAGCGCCCTTGTTTGTAGCTAGGATGAACCACTCCCTCTTCCAGGGTCCTTTACATTAAGTACAAGAGACAGCAGCACGGGCTGTGTTAGTCTAAATGGGAGGTGGAAGGCAGGCGATGAGCGCAGAGCTGGAATCATCTGTCCCTGACCACCAACAAGCCTGACACTGTCGGGGTTATTTCCACTCCTCCCTTTTTCAGTCCGAGGATTGCACAGTCCCACGCTCCTGTTACGCACATGGTCCAAGACTCCACTGTCTCCCACGAATGTGACATCCAAGGGGGGCTCCGGTTGCGCCGCCCGAGCCCAGGGACGCCTTCGCCCTCGGCTGCCATCTATCGGCCACGGAGCGCCCGCCTCGCCCCGGGCCCATCATGTCTGCTGCAGCTTGGCTCGCACCAGTGGCGCGACAATAACAAGTGCACTGGACGGGGCCCTGCGCCCGCGCCGGAGCAGATGTCTCAGAGACCCCTGCGATGCTTACCGCGCTGCCACCTCCTCAGCGCCTGGGAGGGAAGACGCGACTTTCTCTGAGTTTTTTAGAACGGCCAGGCTGCCGGGACACGCCACAGGCGTGGAACAACGCTGTTCCTGTCCCCCGGGTCCCCCAAGGATGTCGGAGATAGAGAATCCCAAATAATGACGATTGTGTGCCTCATCTGGGGAAGGAATAGAGGAAAAACCCCTGCAAAACAAGGAGCGATGAAACGGCCAAGAGGATGTGGGAGCCTTACAAATACTAATTAGGGGCCGCGGCGGCGGCGGCGGCAGCAGCGGCGGCGGCAGCGGAGGCAGGCTCAGCACGGGGACAA